CAGGCGGCGGGCTTAGGTCTCTCAGAGTCTCTCGCGATTGGCTCGCTCACCGGTTGAGGAACGAGGGTAGCGGCCTTTACATCGGCGCGGCGCATAAAAGGAGCACCGGTCGAAAATTCTACAGTTGTCCCGTGACTTTGACTTGTGTGCTCCCTTCCGCCATGTGACCTCGTGTGCTCCGCTGGATCCTCTCCTTGTGTTATTTGTAAATATCTTGTGTTTCTGTTTGTGTTAGTGTATATAGTGCCCGTGTCAATAAACCTTATGTATGTTCCTCTGGTGTGTTTCCGTTGACCTGACCGCTCTGATACACCCGTAAGTCAAAGAACCTGACATTGGCGACCTTGCCAGGATCAGACGGTCTGGAAAACGGCACCATGAGGAACTACGTGGAGGAAGGTGACAGGCTGGGCCTTGAAGGCATGGCCTTCTATCACTACATTCAGGAGCAGGAGAGGATCAGACGCGAGGAGCTGGATCGCTACTACCAGAAACGGGAGGAGGAGAGGCAGCTGCGGGAAGAGCAGCGCCGCAAGAGGCGCGAGGAGGAAAGACGGCGGAAAGCAGAGCAAGCGCTGTGGAGGAACGTGGGTCCTCTCTGTTGGCCTTGCTCTGACCCTCCTCTCGCAAGGGAGCACGTCGTCCGGGTGACTCAGATGAAACTCCCGGGAGTAGAACGCTGGCCAGAGGAGCGGCTGACCACGGAGTCGCACATGGACACGATCCGTCTGCCCAAGGAACCGTCGCAGCGGGAAACCTGCCGGCAAGACGGACAAAAGCGGTGGAGACTCCCGGGGAACGGCCGTCGGAAGAAGCAGGCACGGTCGAAGAAGCCTCGGCCGACGGCGAAATGCACGCCAGAGGAAGCGACTGCACCGGCACGGAAGTCAGAGGAGCTGACCGCCCTTGCATGTCCGCTTGTGCAACTGGTGGGTGCGGGATGTGCACCCGAACGACCAGTTGGCGTGGGATGCTCACCCAAGGGTATAGTGGGCATCGGACTGCCGGAGGAACTGCCTGCCGAGGACGCGCCGGAGGAACAGCTGGTGGGTGCTGGATGTGCGCCCGAACAACCAGCTAGCTTGGGACACCCGCCCAAGGATTTGGTGGGTGCCGGTCTGCCGCAGGAACTGCCTGCCGAGGACGTGTCGGAGGAGCTGCCTACCGAGGTCGCGCAGGAGGAGCTGCCCGCAGAAGATGCACCGGAGGAACAGCTGGTGGGTGCAGGACGTGCGCCCGAACGACCAGCTAGCTTGGGACACCCGCCCAAGGATCTGGTGGGCATCGATATGCCGCAGGAACTGCCTGCCGAGGACGTGTCGGAGGAGCTGCCTACCGAGGACGTGTCGGAGGAGCTGCCTGCTGAGGACGTGTCGGAGGAACTGCCTGCCGAGGACGTATCGGTGGAGCTGCATGCCAGGGACGCGCCGGAGGAACAGCTGGTGGGTGCAGGATGTGCGCCCGAACAACCAGCCAGCTTGGGATACCCGCCCAAGGATCCGGTGGATATGTGTCTGCCTGAGAAGCTGCGGTCCGAGGATACCCTGGAGGAGTTGCCTGCCGAGTTCGCGCAGGAGGAGTTGCCTGCCGAGTTCGCGCAGGAGGAGTTGCCTGCCGAGGTCGCGCAGGAGGAGTTGCCTGCCGAGGTCGCGCAGGAGTTGCCTGCCGAGGTCGCGCAGGAGTTGCCTGCCGAGGTCGCGGAGGAGTTGCCTGCCGAGGTAGCGAAGGAGGAGTTGCCTGCCGAGGACGCGCAGGAGGAGTTGCCTGCCGAGGTCGCGAAGGAGGAGTTGCCTGCTGAGGACGCGCAGGAGGAGGTGCCTGCCGAGGTCGCGCAGGAGGAGTTGCCTGCCGAGGTCGCGCAGGAGGAGTTGCCTGCCGAGGTCGCGCAGGAGGAGTTGCCTGCCGAGGTCGCGCAGGAGGAGTTGCCTGCCGAGGACGCGCAGGAGGAGGTGCCTGCCGAGGTCGCGCAGGAGGAGTTGCCTGCCGAGGTCGCGCAGGAGGATTTGCATGCCGAAGACGCGCAGGAGGAACAGCTGGTGGGTGCTAGCTTGGGATACCCGCCCAAGGATCCGGTGGGCATGTGCCCGCCTGAGGAACTGCCGTCCGAAGACGCACCGGAGGAGCAACTGGTAGGTGCTGAATGCGCACCCGAAAGACCAGTTGGAGTGGAGGAGCTATCTGTCCAGGACGTGCCAGAGGAACTGCTGGGCAAAGGCACCCTGGAGGAGCTGCCTGCCGAGGAGAAGCCGGAGGAGCTACCGTCCGAGGACATACCAGAGGAACTACCGTCCGAGGACATGCCGGTAGTATGGAGACCGCTGGAGGAACAGCGATGGTGCAGCCAGTCTGACAGAAGGCAGGATCGCGATCGCCGGAAGAGCGTGGCCGACGGAAGGGCAGGCCCTGGTGCCACATCGCCGCTGGCTGTAGGACCTCGGAGCATCGGCGTGGTCACCTCGCAGTTGTGGTTCTCGGAAAATAATCTTCCTTTATTGGAAGATTATTTTGAAGAGAGAAGGGAGATATGTCACAACTGCGAGATTGCTCTGGACCATCGCCGATGTTTACCCCAGTCCAGGCGGCGGGCTTAGGTCTCTCAGAGTCTCTCGCGATTGGCTCGCTCACCGGTTGAGGAACGAGGGTAGCGGCCTTTACATCGGCGCGGCGCATAAAAGGAGCACCGGTCGAAAATTCTACAGTTGTCCCGTGACTTTGACTTGTGTGCTCCCTTCCGCCATGTGACCTCGTGTGCTCCGCTGGATCCTCTCCTTGTGTTATTTGTAAATATCTTGTGTTTCTGTTTGTGTTAGTGTATATAGTGCCCGTGTCAATAAACCTTATGTATGTTCCTCTGGTGTGTTTCCGTTGACCTGACCGCTCTGATACACCCGTAAGTCAAAGAACCTGACAATATATATATATATATATATATATGTATGTATAAATGTTTATGTGTGTGCGTGTAATCATATATGTAAGTATATTTAAGTATATTATGAAATTTTCTAAAATAATATTTACTTATCAAGAGTACTAATATACAAATACTAAAGTGTATTTACCTTCAACGTAAATTTCTTTCGTCACAGAGAAGTCGGGATTTGCGTGATCGGCGCAGACCACGGCCGTGCTGTTTCGCTCAAGGGTTGCGGTTTCGATGACGAACATCGTGATGTAGGAATACTCTGCAATTAAAATGGCAGTACATGATGGTAACAGTGATTATTAAAGATAATAATAATAATAATGAAGATGGCGATAATAATTATGACTGTAGTAATAGTCCCAGTATTAATAATTACGATAAGAATAATAACTGTGACAATATTAATGATAATTATCATCATCATTATAATGTCGGTGATGTAAAAGCAACAAACAATTTCATTTACAATGCACAGAGACCTGTTGGTGGAGGAACATTTATTACCACCGACACAGAAGGGCTTTCGTAAAGCGTCTTGGAGAACAGGGATCAGCTGCCAATTGATGAAATGGATATCGCGAAGTGCAACGAAGAAAAGAAACACCACTTCTATACTGCTCGAGAAACCCAAGGAGAAGCCAGAGCGAGGGCTGGTTGCAAAGAAGATATAAGTAGAGTCATAAAACACGCTGGTAAATGTCCGCACTGGGCAATGCATCAACATCGAAGAACATGTATCGGATGTGGATAAAAATGTGGCGGCGAACTGCAGATTATGTAGATACTGAATCCCTTGTAATTTCCGAGATACGCACTCAAATGGAACGCAAAAGTCTGCAGTTTTGCAGAATGTATATCTGGTAACACCCTAAAAAATTAGCATATGAATGCAAAGCGAAAAGCATTGTGGAAAATACGGACAGTGGCAAATGTTTGCGTAAGTAAATCCAGACCTATAACGAAGCAGAATATTTATGGCCGATATACTGTAATAATAATAATAATAATTTAGTTTGATTCCATTTGTTACAATGGATATTCTTGGTGTGACATACTGTCTGTTTTATTTTGCTTCTAAATTATCCCCTGTGCGCAGGGAATGGCCGGGGTTACCATCCACTGGTGGCGAGGGATTCGAACGCAGGTCAGCAAGATTGCTAGACGAGATCGCTACCGCTGCACCACACAGCACACACTGCTGCTCCAGAAGGAAGAAAATCGTACTAGCTAATGCTCCTTGCTTCCTATTTAACACAAGGGAAATGAAAATGAATAAAGGAAGCTTTAAGACCTAAAACGGAAATCGGCCGTATATTGCAACCGCGGCAGGGATTTCTGTTGGCCGCTATGGCAAAAAGAACAGGTGATTGGCTGTCAGTGTTCGTTCCAAAGTTCGTGCGTTCGGCTGCCACGGACTTCGGAAAGGAGTTTGGCGGTCGAGGAACAGGCATACAGAAACTGACATACAGATAATGATAATAATATAAAGATAATAACAATGAATATGCCGAATGCAATACCACCATTAATGATATTAATTGCTGCTTTTATCTTCATTCTTCCTATTATTATTATTATTATTATTTATATTATTATTATTATTATGTTATCATCACCAATATAACTAATACAATCATTATTATTTTTATTATTATAACTACTACTACTACAACTACTATTATTCTTTTATTACTATTATCATTATTATTATCATTATTATTATTATCATCATTATTATTGTTATAATTATTATTATCATTATCACTACTATTACTATTATTATTATTACTGTTACTATTTTTTTTATTATTATTATCTATATTATTATCATAATTAGTATTATCATAATTATGAGTATTATCATTATCGTAATTATTGTATTATTATCATTATCATAATTGTTATTATTATTATCATTATCATTATTATTATTACTTTTATGATTATTCTTCTTGTTATTACTATTTTTACTATTATTATTATTATTATTATTATTATTATTATTATTATTATTATTATCATTATTAATATTATCATTGCTATTATCATTACTATTATCATTAATATTTTCATT